CAGGTAAGGTGTGAAAGAAAACTTCCTTTGTTATCATGCGTAGATAAGGTCCAAATCATTTGCTATTTTTGCTCGGTTGCCGATAAGTCGGTTGCGTCCGATATTTTCACTCAAAACAAATTTTGTTGCATGCTATGAAAGAGATAAAGAGAGAGAGAGCACATTCGAAACTACACAAAGTATACTCAAACCGCTCTCTGATGCTCATTTTCCACCTTCGGATTTTACAATAAAATAGTCAATACATATTTTGTAGAGAATTGAACGCGCTATCTTTCAGTAAAAAAACTTTGCTCGATGAATGATAAGGGAGAGAAAAAAAATTGAGAATACCAAAAACTATAATTCTTTTTGGGCCACCCATTATATTATCCATAAATTTTAACGAAAGTTATGCATACTCTAACTGCTTAATCGTACATTATTCATTAGATCTCATTTATTATATTTTTTGACTAAAAATGATCTAGTTGCATGTTGTGAACTGACAATATTAATTACTTCTGTGACATGAAAATAATTCATAGTTTCAGATTTTTAAAATTACTCTATAGTAGTGATCGAATATCGTCAGGTTGCTTATCGTTGCTATGGCCGTTATAATATATGTTTAACGCTACGCTTAAAAGTGATAAATATATATAATCAAGACAACATATTTGTATACACTAGTTTACTTTTCATACTTTATAATGCTTCAGTATAATATCTGATAATAAGAAAGAGTTCACCACCACAATGTACATATGAACACTTAAAAGTAATCATTTTCATTTTACGTACTAGTACTAAATTTTCCAGTAACGCCCAATAATTTCTCCAAATAGATGTTTTGAATGAAAATACAGGAAAAAGTTCACAGTTATGAAATAAAATATTTCAACTATCCTTTGATTATGTCTAAAATTATTATTTAATTTATTCAATTATTGCATAGAATTTTTAATTTCTTTAAACGAGAAGTAAAAAAAAAAAATATAAGAATAAACATTCGTAATTCACAGAAAAAATCTCTGTATCTGACATTTACTTGTTAAACAAAAAACAATCAACAATATTGAGAAGATGAATAATATAGCTTTCTTAGTATTTTAATATTGTATTTGCGTAATGATAAACGTCGTTTGCCAATTTTTTTTACGATAACCAAAAATAGAATAATAACAAGTAAAACACTGAGAAAAATTTTATAATCTAAGCACCATCTTACTTCACACAATAAAAGATATCTTAATGGTCCTACTGCAGCTAATCGAATTTCTGATACTTCATATTCTAATCGATATAAAATCTCATTTTGATCTCTGATCCATTTTTTTGAAACTGTTTCACCGTTGTCTATATACATCAACACCTGAAGACCCATTTTTCCTACGATAGATAAATTTTCAGATAAAAGTTCAATTTCACTAAATAAAGAATTATTATAAAAAAAATTTTTTAGACGAACATGATTTGTTGCCCAAACACTAAATAGTGAATGGAGTTTAGTACTAGCTAGAGTGTTTTTCGTCAATCGAACAATAGTTTCTACATTTCTTATTAGTTCACTTTCTGGTTGTAAAACATCAACAAATCGATTTAGTGCCACGAGGCTAGAATATTTTCTAGTCTGAGAACGAGCACGAATTCCCAATGCTTCACAAGTATCAGCAAGTATTTTCAACGATTGAAACAGTTCATCATTTGAAGAACCGACTAGAATTTTCAATTTACGTGTATAATCAGAAAGATGTTTAACACCGATTTGATCTATAAGTCTGTTCATTGATTTCAAACGATCGTACATACAGTTGACATCAACTTCTTTGGCAGGTGACCATAGTTTTTCAGCAATTACAGCTGTTCGAGGCCAAATTCTTGAATTAACTGTTGCTGAACTCACATATTCTGACCACATACAAGCCTCGCCACCCAAAATTCTAGCTGATTGTTCTTCTTGAAGCCACTGTGTACCAATTAATGGATCAATAGAATAGTGAAAAGCTGCTGAGCTTAAATGATCGAGATAATATCCATGTGATAGAATTCCATAATAACCTTGAGCGACTATATTGATCAGTGATCCAGGACCACGCCACGATTGAATGATAGTGCCTCGTCGAAGATTTGATGATAGTATCTCATCCCATCCAATTAATAGTTTATTATGTTTATGTAATATATTCTGAACACGACGAGTAAAATATGCTTGAAGGCCTTGATTGTCGTTAAGACGATGTTGTCGTATAAAGTCTTGAATCGACTCTGATTGACTCCATTGGAAGCTTTCTACTTCATCTCCACCAGTATGAAAATACTGATCGGGAAATAGTGTTGCCATTTCGTCAAAAAACACATCAAGAAAGTGATATGTACTTTCAAGAGTAGGATTCATACTGGCATTTAAGACACCCCATTGACGTTCAATCATGTATGAACAAGGTACAGTTGCTAATTCAGGATAACCAACAAACCAACTAGTTGTATGACTCGGCATATCAAATTCAGGTACAACTCGAATACTTCTATTTCGTGCATAATCCACAATGTACTTAATGTCTTCTTGAGTATAAAAATGACCATCGGATCCCATTTTGTGTAACAAAGGATATTTTTTACTTTCAACTCGAAATCCTTGATCATCTGTGAGATGCCAATGAAAAACATTAAGTTTAACGATTTCCATTGCATTAAGAATACTCTCAATCACTTTTACTGGCATAAAATGTCGTGCAACGTCAAGCAGTAAACCTGAAAGAAAAAATAATAATAAAGTGAACTAAAACAAAGCAAGAAAATCTTTAATCACGAAACAAACGTTGTACCACTATACCGATTCAATAGAATAAAACTTCATCATGCAAGAAAAGGTATTTGATAGAAAATGTTTCAAAGGCATTGAACAAATCAGAGTGCTGAATAAAGAATATTAAAAATTATACTTTACCACGCCACGGAAATCTTGGTTTATCGTTAATTTCAACAACGGGTATGATCATCGTATTTGTATCAATAAGGACAATTAATTGCAACAATGTTGATAAACCTCGAACAATCCCGGTAAAGGTTTTCGCTTTTAAATTAATATTGTTTGTTGAAACACGTAACTGATACGATTCGTTTTCTCCTAATTGAGGATAATCAGAGCCTAATCCGTTGCATTCGATAATCAATTTTTCTGATGTTACTGTACTGTTCATATTTAGTAGAATACCCGTTTTTCTATAAAGACGAGAAATAAAACGTCGAACTGCTGTTCTTAAACGAGCATTTGTCGAATATTCTGTTAATATAATTTGAAATTTTGAAGTAATTAACATTCTTGTTTGAAATTTATCTAAAATTTTCCATGGTATGGGCATTAAATTATGGATAACTGACGTATTTGGACAAAATTTTGGCGTAATCATATCTAATTCCTTAATATCAAGTTTTATTTTTTTGTTGCTTAACAGATTATCATCATTCGGTAAAGAGTAGGAACTAAATTTTTTCAGACAAACTTTCGACTGCATTCCAAATATCAGAAGATAGATAATAGCAACCATCGACATAATCATAACTATAACATATTCATATTTCATTGTTATTCGCTGTTTCATTTTTATATTTACAAGATCCAAAAATAATTCGTTTCCATTATGTTTAAACTAAAAACTCATTGAGAAAAGTTAAAATTTGACGCTCACACACATACACACACACATTCACATATATAGGCATATATATATATTCACGATTTAAATCAATTTTCTATATTATTCTATGACAATTTCTTCGAAACAGAACATTTTAGTTTTTTTATTATTT